TCCTTTGACTTCTTGAAATCTTTGACATTTAGATTTTAATTAATTTTTAGCTGCTCATCATTTAGTTTTCATTTTGTTAAGTTTACCTGACCTTAACTAGGTTTTACTGCTTTTAATTTTCAGCTCATGTTTTGCTACTTAGAGTTAGAGTTTGATTTATTTTAGCTTTTAGCTATTGTTTGACTACTTAGTGTTTGGCTAATTATAGCTACAGTGTTTCATACCGTTTTGCTATTTATAGCTATAATGTGTTTCTATAACTAGTGCTTTGCTTTTTTTAGYTTTTATCTATTATTTGCTACTTGCAGCTCATGTTTTGCTAAGCTACTGTATTGCTACTTATACTGTTTTTCTAGTGTTATAGTGTTTTACTTATTTTAGCYTTAGCTAGCATTTGCTACTTAGTGTTTTGCTACTTATAGTGTTTGTTTATTTTAGCTTTTAGCTARCGTTTGATACTTTTTGCTACTGTTTTGCTACTCAGCTAAGGTTTTCTTACTACTGTTTTGCTATGTATGGATGAATGTTTTGCTGCTCTTATTATTTGCTTCTTTTAGCTTTTAGGTTGTGTTGTTTTTTTTAGCTTAAAAACACAGTTTTAGCTTTTTCAGCAAATGTCATCAAAGTCATTTTACTCACTGCATTTTCTAAAAAAAGGGGGGGGGGAATCTTTTTATATTGTTACATTTTTATCCCACCATACAACGCTGATGTTAGTTTTTTTCCTAAAAACAAAAAAATGCTTTAATTAAATTGAAAATGATATGAATGAAAATGTTATTCTGAGTGCTGTGCATGTTTTTAGGGGTGTATTTGAACAATTAGTTTTAATTTATTGAAGAAGGTTCTGTGTAAATCCTTCCATTTTTCTTATACCCACTTTCTCCTTTGTGGATTGTGGGGAAACAGATGCAAATATTCAAGATGTGAATGTTTCAACAAATTAAAATACTTTTATTAGTTCCTTTTTAAGTTTATTTTCTCACAGCAGTTCTCACATGGGTTAACATGACAAGTTTCCAGAATCTGTTTTTACAGTGTATGTTTTTTAAAAGGGGTTTCTATGAGAGCGGAAGGCGTTCAGAGAAGCTGGAGCCAGAGGACCAGCTGCTGAGGGGGGAGGAAACAAAACTCAAGGGAGGGTCCTGAAGGGGGAAAACAAGCTGAGGAAGGCGGGGCTACGGTCATATTAAGGACATATCTACTTAAAAACGGGGCTGCCCTGACTAAAATCAGAGGTAAGACGTTGAACAGGAGGGTCTGACTGCTCTGTCTGTGGTCTGTGATCCGGCTGCTGGTCCACACCTTTTTGACTGCGGGGCAGAAAGGATGCTTTTTGTCTGCCTCACATCTGGAACCAGAAAACTGTGAGAGCTGTTTTATTGTTTTTAAGAGCCGCTTTATTTGTTGCACCTGAAGCACAAAGACATTATTTTTGAAGCACTTGGACTGCCAAAATCTGATTTTTTTTTTTTTTTTTTGGCAACGAGACAAACTGATCCAAGCAAAAATATATAGGCCTACATAATAGAGTAATTGAGGCAGATTTCCTGAACCATATTTTCGTCTTTTATTTGCTGCCTCTCTTTGTAGATTTGTATTTATTTTTATTTTTGTTCCTTAGAAGCTGTTCTGAAAAAGTTGCTGACAGCGCAACAGCTCATCAGATAAAGAGACGCACGTCTTGAACATTGTCCCTGCCTGAGCTCGCACGGCACGGGACGTTTTTACGCACAAGTAGACGGGAGCGCACGGTCAGCGCCAGGTGCTGCGAGGTAGAGAAACACCTGAACCTTGTTAAAAATATTATATAAAAAAAATAAAAAATAAAAGAGAGACAAAATGACGGACGGACCACGACAACGGAGCAGCACGGCGAGTTCTGCCAAGGATGCTGCCGGGGAGAAGCAGGAATCTGGAGGTGTTGCGCTCAAGAAGGAGATCGGGCTCGTGAGCGCCTGCGGGATTATTGTCGGTAAGTTCAGGTGATCACTTCAACAAAAGCTGCAGCTAACCGGTGCAAAGTCTAAAAGACGCATAAATGTGGATCATAGGAGTCTTAAAATTAACTGTTATTCCTTGAAGAAATGCATATCGCCCGCCGTCTTCTGCCAGACTTTTGAACAGAAGGGGCAGCCGCAGATAAATTTGTGTTTTTGACCTAATGTTAGATCTTTTAGCTCTCGGAGTTTGTGTTGATGATAACTCTCAGCTACTGCCATACCAAATCTCAGCTCAGTTTCTGTGCACCTGGTTGGGTTGGAGCCATTTTTGTGTTTCTTGTCATTTAGCTGTGGCAGCTATCCTGAATGAGGTTGTCCCCAAAACGTAATCAGCTGTAGATGTTCACTCAGTGATGTGTTCCTGAAAGTTTCATCAAAATCTGTGGGGTGGTGCATGAGATATTTTGCTAACAAACAGCGCTGCTGCTAAAAGTTAATGCCAAATGTTGCGCATGTAGTTCTCATAGTATATGTGGCACAAGCTCATCTACTATCACACCACATATTAGCTCAAAATCTGTTAAATTAGCTGGGTTATCACCATCTTTTTGTATCCTAAGTTCAGTTAGCTGTAGCAAACATCTTGARTGAAGTTGACTCCAAACTGTAATCAGCTGTAGATGTTCACTAGTTCCTGAATGTCTCATTAAAATCCATCTAGTGGTTCATGGGAAATTTTGCTAACAGACACACTATTGACTTTAGTAGTTAATATCAAAATTTTAAAMGAGATCTTGTGCAATTATCACTCAGAATACAAGTAGGGGTTGGTGTTAGCTGCAAGCATGCTAAATTTTAGCTCGTTATCTGTAAAAGTGGCTGAGTGAGACAAGTTTTGGTTGCTTAGCTGTAGCAGCCACCTTGAAGTAAATCCAAAAGTTCAGCGGTTGTACTTTCCGGTGATTAAAATCTGCATTTTGGTTCATGACAAACACGTAAAATTATTCTCACATCAACTCAGTAAATTAAAAGCCAACTGAAAGACTAAACATGTGATGCTCTATCCAAAAATAAGTCACACACACTGATTTGCTTCTAAGAATGTGCAGCCCTTTGCCCCGTGGCTGCTCCTTTTTTTTATTTTTTATCAGAGAACCTTTCGTCATGTCGTCATCCTCAAGCATCTCTTCAGACGACTTGTCCATTCAGGGCAGTTTGTAGACTCTGAAAAGTGATAACCATGTTGTGAGGTCGCTCCTGATGGCMGGTGTGAAATATGCTGTTGCTCTCTTATCTGCTAACATGGGAACCATTTGCTGATAACATCCAGRTTGTTTTTATGAGACTTGAACACATCTCAGGAATAATCGAATTGATTTAAAGTGTTTGAAACGTGGAAAATATTAATGCTCAAGACGAAACGGGCAATAGTGTATTTTGCCTCGCTCATTTGTTGTTTTAGCTAAATACCTCATGATTTCTAACTGGATAGATCTCAACGAAACTGACAGAAGCTAATCCCTGCATCTATAAATCTATAAATCATTATCCCTTTTAAGATGGATGGAACAGCTAAGCAACACAAAAATGGCTGAAATTAAACTAAATTTACACATAAAATCTCRTAATAGTGTCAAAAGAGCTAAAACTTCATCAGGGGCCAGAGTGGCAAATACCACCTCTGGCACCAAGGTGCCACCCTCAACTAACTGACAAGTCATCTTATATTTTGTAAGTGAATTTGGATTTTGTTAGATTGTTCTCTGATACTACTGTACGCTATAATTTTTATTTAGCTATGCAGGTTTAAAAATAAATAAAAATTTATAGCCTTTCGTTAAATTAGCATTAGCTTAATTTGGGATTAGCATTGSTTATCAGCATGTGATAGATACACCACAACAGATTTAATCACATTAAGTCTTAAAACAGCTGATATATAACCTTTTAAAGTTAGTTGTGGTTGCCTCTTTAATTTTCGATTAGCATTTCGAGTTTGGCAAAGGCTGTTTTTGTCGACCTTTTCACTAATCTTCAGTTTTGTACGTCTAAAAATGGCTGACTAGCGTTCAGCATTCTAATTCTTAGCTATGATCACACAAATGTTCAGCTTAATATTTCTTCCAACAGCTGAATAAAAGCCATYTGGAATTAGCGGTGGCRGCCATCTTGAATTTTCAAATCTAGAGTGCTTTTCTTTATTTGTATGCACCAACATAAAAAACATCTTTGCCRCCCTGTGCCACATCTTGCCAAAAAGTCTAGTTCTGCCCCTGAACTCTGTCCTTTCTCCTCATGAGATGATCTTAGTTTATGAAAAGCAGTGAGTGATGTGCTTTTATTCAATAAAGCTTTTCATTTTTGGTGCTTTTCTCTCAAAGCACTCATTTCAGCACTTGTATCAATAATGTCAGCTTCAAACAATCATATTAGATGTTGGACAGATTGAGATCTCCTGGATGGGTGGTGCAGATAGAGTGATGTCCTCAGGTTGACCACCAAGAGACGAGGTGACTCATTCATGCGTTTCCAGGGTAACAGGGAGGAAAGAGGGGAGAGATGGTGACGGCGCGTGAACAGTGTTTTCTCCAGAGGTTTGCTGAAAGACCAGGAGAGTGAGGCGAGGAAAGCAGACGAAAAGAAAGTGTGATGTTTACCCCTAACTGAATCCAGTCAGATTTGTTTTTCCATCAGTGAATTGTTCCCATGTGCCCCCCTGCCTGCAGAATCAAGACTTTGTGGTGATTTTTCACTGGAAACACGTTTCAGTCATGAAGTTCTCCCTTTTCTCCACTCTAAGCACATGTTGCTCATTAAGGTCACGAACTCTGTCCTCCTCATTCAGAGCTGTTTCCAGGATATATCAGTGGGCAAATAATAGATCTAATTAGCTGAATGTGAATTAKACTTTTTGTCATCTTGTTTCAGAGTTACAACTATTTATTTAAGCATTGAGAAAAATCTAATTATTTCTAGCTGATACGTCACAGCTGTGGTCATGCATTTCCAGTAACCATAAAGTTCTACAGTTAGCTTTTTGTGGTGTGTGTAATAGAACTAATACTTTTATGTTTAAGCAAGTAATTCATGACATCCTTTAMTGATCTAGGTTTTCATGACATGCTGTTCRTCTGCAGACAGAATGATTAAAGTCAGAACAAGATTTGATACAAGGTCAACGGAAAACACAAAGATAAACACAAGTGATATCTAAGAATGACTGTTGTAGCATTTTTTTTCTTTTTGATTGGTTTTTCCACTTATTCCTTGTATTTTAGTATGTTTTCTGAAGGAATGTCCCAAAAAGATATYAATCTGAGTCATTTAAAAATCACTGACATTGCATGTTCTCCCCATGCACATGTGGGTTTTCTCTGAATGATCTAGTTTCCTCCCACAGATCCTGTTAGGTTCACCAGTAACTCTGTGGGTGAGAGACTGAATGGTTGTTGAACTTATTTGTCTGTATTCCTGCATGGATTTGCACCGTGTCCAGGGTGTACMCCACCTCTCGAACAGTTACTGATAAAGATAGACAGCCGCTCCCCCGCAACCCGGGAAGGAGAAAGTGGTTAAAGAAAATGAATGGATGGATGGATTAATTATTAGCTAATATCTGGCCTCTTCATCAGACAATGTCACTGTTATAGATTTGCCCAAAAACAAATCTGCTTCAATATTGGCTTTATTTTTMTTTTTCTGCTGCTTTTAGCTTTRAGCTACTCAAATGTTATATWTTGCTTTTAGTTAGCGTTTTGCTATTTAACTTTAGCTTCCCTAATGTTCTTCATGGCTTTTACTTAGCTTTTTTCTGTTAGCTTTACTATTTGGCTTTTAGTTGCCTTTTTTGCTAATTTTATCTTTAAACTACCCTAAGGCAATATTTGGCTTTTAGTTAGCATTTTGATACTTTTAGCTTTAAGCTACACCACTGCTATATTTGGGTTTTAGTTATCATTTTGCTACTTTTATCTTTAAGTTACCCTAAGGTGATTTTTGGCTTTTAGTTAGAATTTTGTTACTTTAARTTACCCAAGTGGCTTTTAGTCATTTTTAGCCTTAAGCTACCTTAATGCTATATATGGCTTATAGCAGGGGTATTCAATTAAAATTTAAACGAGTCCAGTCAGAGAAAATTTCTTAAGACCAAGGTCCATAAGATCATAATGTCTTACTATTTAGAGTTTATATATATATATAAA